AAATATATGCCAGTGATACGTATACACAACATGTGTATTTACTCCAAATTGTTTTTCTTTATTTTTAATTTATTTCACGAAAGATGCTATTAGCTCGAAATGGGTGTCAATGGAATGAGCAAGCAACTTCCCCATGCAGAAACAATAAATTTATATTTTCAGTTAGATGGCTGTTCTATTCATAATGCGGGAAGTGTGAAAAGTTGGCTGAATCAAAACTACCGTAATAGTTGTATAGGACTGGGAAGTAGATTAATTGCATGGCCATCTAGATCGCCTGACCTTACTATACTGGATTTTTTCCTACGGAGCTATGTCATACAAAATGGCTACAAATCAGGACCAAGGCATCGAAGGGAACTGTGCACAAGAATTCGGTCAGCGTGTGCTGCAATTACTCCGCAACAATTACAGAATACTTTAATAAATGTTCGCAAGCGATATGATAAATGCATTGTCTTGAATGGACGTTTGGTGGAGGCAACAAAAATTTGAATTGCACACATTTCAATTTCAACTTGTTATCATCTCCGATCCTATTATGAGCATTGCTTGTGAATAAGAGATTGTTTTCCACTAGTTTGTAGCAATTCGAAATAAATGCAGGTGTTTTTTGTTTTGAAATTATTGACATTGAAGTTTGTTTCATAATCGGATTCATTCATATGATTCATACATTTCATACCTTTTTCATGAATACAAGGATTTGAATTATATTTTGCTAAATATTCCATTAAACTACAAATTTCTCAAATTTTACTCCTTTAAAATTTTTTCATTGATGGATAGATTTTGTTGAAATTTTTAACAGTGATAACAGCATATTTTTCAAATTTCATTCACTTATAACTTTTTTATTATTGGATGCACTTCTTCGTTACTTTAACATAGACCATTTGAAAACGTCAGAATTCCAGTGATGTAGTCAGATTTTTTGTAAAAAAATCGCTAATATATTTTTTTAATTTTTGGCCTTGAAGAAAGGGTGCTTTCATCTTAAATGGGTATGCCAAGACTGGGACACTAGTCAAATATCTGTTCAAGGCGGTAAATGCTTGCCGGCAACCTATTGACCAAACAAAGGGGGTTTTCCTCCCAGTCAAGCTATGTAGTGATCTGGCAATTTTTCCGAAGTCCTTCATGAAACGTCGGTAATAGCTACAGAGTTCAAGAAAACTTCTTACGCCGTGCTTGCTCTTCCATGTTGGCCATTCTTGCACTGCCTTGATATTCTCTGGATCTGTTGCAACTCCTTTTGAGGACACGTGTCCCAAGAAATTCACCTTTTCCTGGAAGAGGCAGCACTTCTTGGGATTGACCCGCAAATTAGCATTTCGCAGCCTCGTGAGAACACTCCTATAGTTTGACAGATATTCATCAAAACTTTTTCCGGTCACTGTCTTCAAGATATACCAAGCATGTTTTCCAGGTGAGTCCTCTCAGCACCAGCTCCATCAAGCGTTCAAATGTTGCGGATGCATTGCATAATACGAACGGTATGAACTTAAACTGGCTCGATCCCTTGACGGTGGAAAAGCCAAGATGATCAGGGTGTCATCTATTGTGGAGAAGATAACTGTCCTTTCTGGTGATATCATTAATCCTCAACTTTTCTACGCAGAATCTCGTCGATCCATCTTTCTTAGACACCAACATTATAGGTGACAACCAAGGCCTGCTTGATTCTTCAATTACCCCTTCCTACAACATGTCCCTAACCATGGATGAAGCTTCGTGCTGGTTCGCGATCCGATATTAAACTGAATCCGTTGCTTCCAATTAGTTTGTCCCTGACGAACATATCGTTCTCTTCCTCTCCGAATCGGGTGGTCTTGCATAGTTCTTCTTCAAACAGATAGTTCCACGTCTTCTTGAAGGAGTCGATGAGTTCCTTCGCGGGTTGTTCAGCACACTGCAGAGGAGCAGGGTTCATTATTCTTACTTCAATGGTCTGATTGTTACCATTCACAAGAGATCTGGCTACGAACATTCCTGCTTCAAAGCCGTTGGATGGCTCTATCATTGCTGTGCCCAAGCCTCCAGGTCCAGCAACCTTCGTCTGAAGGATTTTCTCGGTGTTGCCAGTATGAGAGGTGTTGCTTTCTCCTCATTTCTCCACCCATTATTTTCCGCAGCGGCCTCAAATTGTCTGCGATGAATTGACCACGAAGATTCGCCATTAAAGGTTAGAGTTTTAATAAAACTACCGGCCCCGGTTATTCTTTCTGAAGGTTCCGGAAAACCTCTTCGAATATTTGCCAATTCCGATTTCCCCTTTTCAAATTTCCATTCAACCCCCTCAAGTTTCACATCGACTTTTTTCAAATTTGACCTTTGTTTCCTGAAATACGTTTTCAAATTCTTCCTGAATATACCTATACCTCCCCCACACTAACTTGAGGATATTTCAATTATTTACGATCTTTTTCTATATATCTTTCTTATTCCCCGTGAATATTGGCCAATAATTTACGATCCTCTTCTCCCTCTCTTTCTTGTTTCTTCTGGTTCAAAGTGAGTGGGTCTGTCCGATACTCCTCTCTGTTCTGAATATTCATCAGCAAATATATGACTCTTTCCTGTTTTAACTGAATATTTAGTAGTAATTACCGGTACCAGAGGCTCCATTTGTGATACCTGATAAAGTCCAGGTCGCTTTCATCCTTCGGCATGAGTCGCTTAACACGACTTGATTATGTCCCATTATTATTTGTCTCTTTAAATATTCGAAAGATAAATTGAAAGTTCCCTCTTCTTTTTTCGAAACGTCATAGCTGAACAGTTCGTACCGTCTGCCAAAGCAAGAGTCTCTTGAATCGACAGTTTCTTGGAGTATCCACTTGCACTTCAGTTCCTTATTGAGACTCATTGATATGGCCGAGACTGAATGCACAATCAACTAGTGTCGTAACAATTCTATCCATGATAATAATTATAGAATTTTTACAGCTCATAACTTATGTTCAGAGATTTTATTTTGAAATTTCTTCGTGTCCTTCCTATATAAACTTATGGGCATGATCCACATGTTATTCTGTAGACCTCTAATTTGTTATTGTTCTTTTATGATTTGTTGTTCCTTATATCTCCACCCAAGGAGTTACCAGTCTTATATGCTATGTTAATGTTCTCTTTTGTTAGTAGTCTTTTTATTTTATCTGACGATTTTTCCTGTATATGTGAGTGTTTTATAGGTGTTTAGTGTTATTTTAATGAGGGGTATACTTGGTTAATGGCCTTTTTTGTCAAGTATGTGATGAATCATGTTCGGCTTGAAATTCATCTTTGAAAAAAAAATTAAACAGGTCATCAACCAAGTATACATATTCAGTAAAGAAAATGAAGGACAAGAATTACCTAAAAAAGGTAGTTGCCATCTCTCGCAACTACCTACACTGTAGGTGTAACTAGTTAACAATCTTTCTCTTAGACGAAGGTTTCATGTAATTGAAATTAATCGAATTCCAGGGAATTTATTTGTCATATAAGCCGTACTAGTATAATGCTGCCAACTGTACCATTTTTTACACATACCATAATTTGACTTGGTGTACTATCGTAAAGTGCAATGGTAATGGTACACTGATTGTCCCACAACTTCGTTTTGGTCCATTTTTCAAATCGACGCCAACGAAATATTGACAAAAAATACAGAATCAGTAAGTCTTATGTTCATATTGGTGACACTGATATCCATGGTTGTACTTTTAAAATTGATTCAATTTTATTCAGCAGCTAGAATCAACAAATACCATATTCAGCGGTAAAACGGCTATAACTGCTTGAAACTGTTGAACGTACACATTAAGTGATAATTTGGGATCTTAGTGATTTTTTTAATCTGTGACACTACTAACAGAGTAACAGTTGGAAAAGGACGTGAAGTTAACCTATTTTGTTATCATTGATAGTATCTTTTTTCCAGTTTGAATGAAAAAAATCGTATTTTTATTTTTTTCTATCCCTCAATTTGTGTCATGTGAACGGCTGATTTCACAAAAATTTTACAATGAAAGCCGAAATCGTCAAAATGACTCATTTTAGAATTAAAATGTATACCCCGATCTTTTATTCGATTAACTCTATCATCGCTCTATTATCAAGAGTGTACTGAAAAATGAAAGGGAAGTTATTTCTGTAAAATGAAATACAAGCACATTTGATTATATTTTACTGTGGCTCTTCAACGTATTTGATGAATCGAAATATGAATCTGCTCTGAAAGCCATCAATGATTGACATCACAATTATTACAAATTCATTCATTGCCAGGAAATTTGTTGCAGATTTAATGCAAACTCTCCTAAAAATTATTTATAATCAACATCACATTCAAAGATTTTTTCCAGTATTCCCTTATGAATACAAACAAAACTCACTTCTAGTTTGCTTGAATTTGGAGGGCTTTCTCTATTGCCTATTGTAGGTAGCGTGGAGCATGTACCATAATCATTTTCTTCATCTCCATTAACCGTTAGTGAAATAACTAGTGAAGAATTTTTCAGAACTTCTGGCATTCATAACAATAACCTTACATATTACAGTAAATATGGTTCACCCAGCAAAAGTTGTAATACAAAATAAAAGTTGAAATTCGATAAAAATGAAATAAGATGAATATATAAATCTAGCATTCTCTTGTCGTGGTGGCGCCACTTTAGGGTTAGCCTTTTCATTATGTTCTACGAAGATCCTATATTGCATCAAATGCTTTTTACATTGTTTGTGACTAAATATTAATATTTAAACAATGTTGTAATCATTACTTCTGACCAATCAGAATAAGATTCAAATCATTCAAGATGACAAATCTTGGACTAAAATTGAACAAATACTCTTTTTTTGTTTTAATTTCCGATCGACACCAAATTAAACATTTTGCTGCATCCCAGGTGTTGTGACTGAAAAGTGTCAGTTATTGCGAACGTTTTTTTACTATTTTGTTAGGTTTCTGATTTTTGTTCTATTTTTTTCAATCTCATTTGTTTATTACTTTTCAGATAAGTTCATATCCCCGGGCGAGTTACTAACTGCAGCAATGAAATCGTCAAATATGCTTATTGTCGATATTAGGAAAGCTAAATATTTTTGTATATCGAGAATACAACTTGAATCAGGACTAATGATAAATATACCTGAAGATTTAGTCCAACCGGGGTATACATTAGATTGAGTATGTATTTTTTAGAATAAATGGAATAATTGAAATTTCAGTTTATCTGCAAACATATTGGTCCAAAATCTCGGTCCTGAGACGGGTGCAATTTGGAATAAAAGAGATATTTATGATACTATCGTACTTATGGACTATAACACTTCAAACCTTACATATCACGGATCCAAACTGGAAGTTTTAGGAAACTTGATTATAAAGGTAATATATTCTAATTATTTTTTCATTACCTCATTAAAAACATGTTTTCTGCACCAAAACAAAATTTTTATGGTCATTGCTTACTAGACTATCTCAGTAGCTCTGAACATCCCAAGATTTCTCCAACATTAACATTTTTATGGAAACACGCAAGCACTATTAAATCCGGACTAATGAGCTGTGGTCGAATGAAACCTGAGATAGAACCAAACATTTCTTCTGTCGGAACGACTAACGACTTCGAGATATAACCTTCGTCCTCGCAGTACAGGCACATACTACTGATGATGTCTGCCGCAGTAGCAGACGAAACGTTTGATACTTCAGGTTTCATTTGATCACAACCTACCAGCCCAGATTTTGTTCACTTTGATCGTGACTCCGGCCGTAAAAACCTTCTTTCATATATTACACAAGCAATGTTGGAAATTCACTGAGAAGATAGATGGGCGTTTAATTTAAATCGTTGTGATTACATTCGTCTGGAAAAAATGTCTCGGAAAATTTTGTTGAATTTCAAAACGGTAATTTGCCATGTATTTTGGGTAGATGAATCTTATGTAGATAGAATCTAGCATTCTTAGGGGTTGCTTAGTGAAGGAGCTCCATATATGTCAGTAATATGAATGATATGTGAGTATATGTGAATAATATGAAAAATAACCTTTCCCCACTGATGTAAAAGCAAAATGGATGAATATTATGAAGGTCTAACGAGTGGTTCAACAGGAAAGATGCTAACGGTCTTAAATATAAATTATGGCTGACATAGGTCGTGGAATGTATAATTTGTTCAACTACGATTAATATACGGCAGCTGCAAAAGTTATGTGAGAAACTGATCAACAATAGCTACTGATGACATTCATACTAAGAAATAAGGATCTGATACTAAAATACATAATTCACGGCAGCATTATCTCAGTGATCAGATTACCAAAGCAGAATGATTAGGGTATATATAAAACGTATTTCTGCTGCTTCTAGGGAAGAAGTGGTATTTTGAATCATATTTCTAACAGTATCAGAAAAGTTTTCTTTAAATATAAATTAATAACTTTATCCTATCACTGAAACTATAGGACCTCGTTTTCACAAATACTGAAAGTCAACAGGATAAGGTATTGGTATAACATGGAACAAAAAATATATCCTTGGAAATGCCACAGCAGAGTTACTACTCTTCTACAACCCGAAAGTTTTGATAAAAATAATTTACTAACGTCAAATACGTTATACCGTCAATGGATGTTTCTAACGTTAATAAGAAAATGCAGAGATTGCAGAATTTTATTGAGACACATAGGTGCCGAGGGTTTGAGAAAGTACAGCAAAATTTGAATATTTACTTTCACAAATTCATAAAAGTAGCCATTTTAAATCCAACAAACTTGTTAACTAACGTTTCACCAAACAATTTGGCGTCATCAGGAGATAATGCTTTATTGAAAAGAGCAGTGTTATAGTTTTAGTGTGTGATATAAGTACCTATGTTGACGTATCAGAGGTTTTAGGTCTATGCTTCAAGTCATTTTGGTTTAATTTTTTTGTCAGAAATCATTATTATTTTTTTTACAAAACAAAAGTCATATCATTATGTTGGTCACTGGTAGTCCTGCAATACTTCTAAGAAGACATAGTCAACGCCTACACCACTGAAGATGTCTGCCGCAGTTGCGAACAGAACATGATACAAAAAGTTCCTTTTGACCACGGCCTGCCAGCCTGGTTCTATTCTATTGAAGTGACCAAATCGGTTTATTCATATGGTTAATATGAATGGAATGGTTAATAACAACTAATCAATAGTAGTTTTTAAATCGGTTTATTCATATGGTTAATATGAATGGAATGGTTAATAACAACTAATCAATAGTAGTTTTTAATGTTTTACATAACTGCATAGCTCACCTGATTGAATCATACCTGAAATATTTTCAATTTTCCCTAGAAAAGAGGATGACGTCATGATTTGATCCCATCTAATAATGCTTAAATTAGGCACTTTATTACTGAAAAATATGAATTGATGATAAAGACCAAGTGTCTTAATCAGTGATGTTATTCATGAATTATACTTAGTAGACCAGTGTCGATAATTTTTGAAACAAAAAAAACAGTAGGATGAAAACCATTAGAAAAGGAGGGGAATATGATGAAAATGAAAGGAAAAATAAATTACGAGCGATCTGAGTTCGGGAAGTGGGATATTGCTGCTTCATTTATGTGCATAACCAGTTTTCCCATAAAAAGGTTATATGATTCTTGCACTAGTTAATTTGATAATATTTCATTCCAATTTTCTCCACTCAATAATTCATTTAATTTTTCATAATTAATTTGTTTCTTCAAATGTTCTGTTTCAGTTTGGGATGAGTAATCTTCAAGTTCGGGTAGTGAGATAGAAATATCAAGTGAATTCATTTGCAATAAGTTGATATTTATATATCCTGCGTATATTTCTAAGTTTTATTGTTCCAAGTTATCCAAATATATTTCTAAATCATTTATGTAATGTTGTCTATTTGTTGCCGGTGACCTGTAGAAAGCTGTTATTCCTATTGTATTGTGTGAATGTAGTAGTTCATTTGTGAATGTTATCCTAAGGAATTTGGTTTCATTTATTGGTGAAACTTTAACAGTAGCAGAAAGGCAACTCTTTGTGTATACAACTACTCCATCGCATTTATTGACTGTTGGTTGGTTAAAATGTATGTCACAGTTTGGAATAGAAAAATCACTTACGTTTTCAATCCTCCTTGTTTCAGATAAAATTAATATATCTGAGAGATCTATAGTATTTAGTTAAATTTATCGCATTTATGTACACGTTGATATAGTAATTTGACTGATTCAATCCGTTAATTAACTGTATGGAGTATTTGGACTTGTACAGCTGCACCACGAAAAAGTTTAATCCTATATCAATAAAAAGCTGAAAGTGGCCGTCAAATTTTATTTACTTAAGGCACTCTCACACTGTTTCTAGCCAGTTTTGAATAAGGGACGATGAATGATCCTGCAGTACAAATAATCATTAAGGAAATGAATAAAAATGAAGAGGAGCTCAAGAATATAATAGTTGCTTCTGAAACAAGGCTATTACTTAAAATTGAGGCACTGAGAGAGAGAATTAACTCATTGGAATGCGAAAATAAAGTGTTGAAAGACAGAGTCGAGAATCTTGATAAAAATAATAGATCAAATAATATTGTGTTATTTGGCCTTAGGAACGAATGCACTGATATCAGTGCTCCGTACATTTGTAGTGAGCTAAATAAACTACTGGGTACTGACATTTGCGAGCAGGACCTAAACAACGTCTACTCTCTTGGAAAAAGTGAAAACTCTCCGGTCAAGATTGAATTTATATCTTGCTTAACTAAGAAAAAAGTCTTCGCGAAAGTGAAAAATCTTAGCGAAAGTAGCGGTATAAGCATTGCTCACGATGTTACTCTAGATCAACGGGCGGATTTGAAGATTCTAAAAAGATTCTTAAAAGACATTTTATATGGTAGACAATGGAAGTCCGAACTAGTGAAATTCATCATGAAACATTGTCAATCACCTTCAAACAAACGCTAAAAAGACATCTTGCCCAGTATAAAAAAGATCCGAAAATTTATATTCGAGGTTATCGCTTGTATGTGGGCCCAAAGCAGTATTCGGAGAGTGATCTTATTAAACTTGATACGCTAGTGAATTCACCGCCTAAGGCAAGCAGTGTCCTTTCTACTCCGACCCAAACGCTCATTCGATCTCACCAATCTCCCATCGAAGAGAGAGAATTTCCAGTGATTCAAGTACAGGAACCGCGCCCCCCTGAATCTACACAGGAGTCAACGGGAGTAACAAAAAAAGTAATCTCCATACCAGTGGAGAAACCCATGCGATCCCGATCGTATAATCATTAGGGATAACTAGTTACTGAGTTTCATAGACATTCGTCAGGAGACCTTTTGCATACCATATAATTTCGTATATATAGGTACTCTTTTTTTCTTTTTTTTTTTCTATATATTCACATGTGGTATTGTAGACATTATCCGACCTACACACTTGTGTGTTCTTCTGAATGTATACTTATTTTACTCAGTAATATTTGATTTTTGTGATGATTAATAGCCTTAAACTTGCTCATCTCAATGTTAGGTCTTTATTCACTGAATTTGATTCGCTTAAAGAATTTATTACATCAAATAACATAGATGTATTTGCATTGTCGGAAACATGGCTCAGTTCTCGTATTGATTCTAGTACGGTTGCAATTCATAATTATCCCCTGGTTAGAGCTGATAGAGATGGCAGAGGAGGTGGAGTTGGCTTTTATATAAAATCGTCTGTGAAATTTAAAATTGTTTTTTCACAAGTAAATCAGTATTTAGAGCAATTATGGATTTCTGTGAATAGCTTTGGTAAAACATTCTATTTTGGAGTCATTTATCGGCCTCCAAAAGCTAATGTAACGCTGTCTCTAGCTGCACTCGAAGAAGTTGTCTCTAGCTCATTACCTAGCTGTGATTCACTAAATTTGGTTGGGGACTTCAATATCAATCTCCTATCAATCAATAACTCGGTTGAAATTTTTTTGAATTTCCTCAAAACTTACAATTTATCACAGGTTATTGAAGTCCCCACAAGGATATCCTGTCACTAATTGATATTCTAGTTACTTCTGATAAAGATGGTATTAAATCTATAAATGTAATTGACGCTGGTGTCTCCGATCATCTGGCAACGATGTGTGATATTTTGTCACTGAAAATAGTGCATAGCCACAAAACAATAACTGTTAGAGATTTTAGAAACTTCGACATAGATAGTTTTAATAACGATCTTCACTCACTCCAGTGGGATTATCTCTTTCAACTCAATAATGTCGATAGTATGATTGAATTTTTCAATGACAATATATCACATCTTTTCAATTTACATGCACCAATGAGAAGAATAAGAACAACTAAACCGCCTGCACCTTGGCTCACCTTCAATATAAAGGAAATTATTAAATTGAGGAACAACGCATTGAAAAAATACAAATCATCCAAATCCCATACTGATTGGGCACATTACAACGACATGCGTAATTTTACTACAGGTGCGATTCGCCGGGAAAAGAAAGCTTACCTGGACTTCACTTTAAGAAATGGTAACTCTAAAAAATCATATGAACGAACTGAATTTGAGATTGCAAGGAGAAAATTAGCTTCTCCCTGATTTATACACCAATATCAAATTCTTCAGACAGAAAATAATACTATTTTAATCGCAATTACGTAAAAAATGTTTCACACATTTTGAAACATGTGAAATATTCAGTCACACTACAGAGACTGAATTTCCCGTCAATTTTGCAATACTTTGAGTGCTTTGAAGATAAATTTTGATACTCGTTTTTCAGATTTTGATGTCATCGCGAATGAAATTAAGCTTTTTCAAAATCCTTTTGATTCAATTAGGTAATCATTGGCTGTCGCGGGCCAGATTGATGATAGTAAATTATGGCTGTCGCGGGCCGGATTGATGACACTGGCGGGCCGGATTTGGCCCGCGGGCCGTAGTTTGGAGACCCCTGATCTAGAACGTCCAAGAAATCTAGCATTGCCTAATGCTGGGGTAAGGCGGTGAGATATTCCTTCACAATTATATTATCAAATTACGGTGCTTATCCACGATTTAAAATTAAAAGAGTGTTCATCATATAATAGGCTTCATTAAAGACATATATAAGGTAATAAGAAATAAAATATAAAAAAAAGAAAATGAATTATCAGCTGTCTTCTTCGTTAAAAATGCGTTTATAGTCTTTTTTGTTTTTTATAATAGACAGTTGGTTGTTCACTTGGAGATAAATTTTCCCATTTCCCGCCCAGACGTTTTGCAAACCAAATTTTTCGATAGATTTATTCAGTATTTGTACCCTCATACTAGTGAGATCTTTCCTTATTACAACGCCTGTTCCTTTGAGCGATTTTCCTTTCCTTCCTTTATATCGTAACTTTTCAGTCTGAGGAATATTCCTCTATTTTTTGTAACAATTCTCATCTCTCAGATGCAAAGACACCTTGGAATTGCGAAATTTGATTATTTCCTTCCTTGCATTCTCATGATTTTTTTCTTTGAAACTAAATATTCTCAAGTTTGCTTTTCTATTTTTCTGATCTGTTTTCTCCATAGGTTCTTCGATCTTCTCCAAATTTGTTTCCGCTATTTTATTTTCCAGTGCTTTCATTTTGTTTTCATAATCTAAATTCAGTTCATCAAAATTATTCTGAAATTCCGCCACTATCACCTCTAATTGAGATATTTTCTTTTCCATAGTTTTTACGATGGCATCGGTCACATTGTTCACTATGGTGTTGAGGAACGAATCGCTTTTTATACACCCATTAACAGCACGGCAAATTGCGGATTCTATTTCGTCTCTCGTTTCGCGAGTCAAAACCATATTTGTCGACTTTCATTCGCAGGCAAAGACAAGATGCTTTTGTAGTTTCACTCACTGTCAAAACAAAATTTTAATACCGTTTAAACACCACTTTTTAGATTGAATTCGGGAAGCTCAGCTAAACACACAGCTATTAGGTTCTCGCCATATGTGAATAAAATCACATACCTAATATCTTATCTCAAATAAGATCACCTATTCATTATTATGTAAATATTCCAAATTAAAATGTTATAACAATATTAATTATATATGATGGAAATGACCGATACTTGATGAAAATCCATAACTAACTTATTTAAAAAACACTTTATTGTGAGATTTTCACTAAACGATTTTACAAAAACGCAACACGTGTATGTATGTAAAATTATTTAGTGAAAATCTCACAATAATGTGTTTTTTGAATATGTACAATATCAGTTGTTTATAAATAAACATAGTTATTAGTTTTAACAAGTATTTTTTGTTAAATACCCAAACGCTTTCACATATAATAAAACGACGTAACGCTCATAAAATGTTTTGTTTGCTATACAAGAATAGAGTGTACCCAGCAAAGTATTATAAACCAGCCTATACCAACTGGGCAAATCATAACAAAATCATAAAATTTTGTTTGAGCGTTTTGCATTCAGAATGAGTATTTATTACTCTTTACTATTAGGAAACAGTATTAGCTAAGACAGCATTACAAAGGGAAGTTTTGAGTTTCAAAACCACAAGCAAATAATTTTTATCTTATCAACCTTGAATCTGTTACTCAGCAGTCTACCGCGGAATCCTTTCCAGTCTTTTCTTTCGCGAATTTTATAAACGTACAAAAACAAACACTAAACCACAAAACATCAGCTTCCTATGGGACACTACAGTATTGCCGTTTTTATTGAATAATTAAAGAATCTTGATATTATAGGTATCACTACACTTTTTTATGGGTAATACAAATATCTTTATTCACTCATTTCATTTTACTATAATTGAATCAAAAACCGAAAACTAGTTATTTATAAAATATCTTTTGCATCTTTCAGTGGGATGTAAACCACAGATATGAACGGGAACCCTATATACTTGATGGAGGAATTAAAGAATTTGCAGATCGCTTTCCTTCTGAAATTGATGATACGCACATTATTCTGTCTCATAACAACTCAGAAATTGTCGAATTTTCGGATCTAGAAAGCATACATTCAACTAATTCTATTACAAATCTGGAGTCGAGAATTCAGAGAGATTTTGAACTTGAAGAAACTGAAGCTTATAATCTTCATAGTCGTTCAGAAGGAAACCTACCCGTAGATTTTTATGAATCAGACGATTCAAATCCAGCTGGACCATTCAGTAGTCTTTCACAAGACTCTTTGTCAAGAGAACATTCGGTCACTGAATTGACACATAGTGATTTTTTCACACTTGTAAAGTGTATGGAGGCTTTGAGTTTGTCTGAAGGAAATGAATTAGATAAAGTGATTGCGGATACAAGAACAATTTTACTAGGAACTACCGGAGGCGAAGTAGAACATATAGATGAAGTTATTAGTAAAGATCAAGATAGTTCAGAATTGAGTGGAAAAACTCATATCATTGAACAACCTTTGGTAATTCGGTCTCGTTCTCCTGAAAGACAGGTTAGTATTTTCACCATTTTTTATAAATCTGATTTGAATTATTTATTTATTTTCGGAGTGCATTTGAATTATTGGAATATTTTCAGAATTATGGAGAAGGGTATACTGGTTTGATAAATGTAGGAAATATTTGCTACATGAACTGCATGTTACAATGCTTGAAAGTTCTACCAGTGATTAAAGCAACCTATGTAACATCTGATCTATATCTAAAGTTCCAGACAAGAACACCTTTAAAAATTAATCATATAATGGCAGATGTGAGTGAACCTTATGAAATATGTCTAGAACATTATTCACTATTTATGAATATTTTTTGTTTCAGGTATTCAGAGAAATTTGGAAGGGATCTGATTCCAATCAAAACATCTTCTTCATCGAGGAATTCAAGAAAAAGATAGTTGAAATCGCTCCACAGTTCGGCAAAAATACTCATGAAGATGCATTTGAATTCTTTATTTTTCTATCAAAAGTAATAAATGAAGATTGTTCTTTAGACCTGCTCCAGTCTCCAGTAATGACTGAACAAGAGAATGCTTGGTATTCCCTACTCCAAGGGCATACTTCTTTTTGGGTGGATACATTTTATTACCTACTGAAAAACTCCAGAACATGCAATAAGTGTCACCATACAAATTCAGTATTCGAAACTGACAGCACTTTAATGGTACCTATTGATAAATCTACAAAGCACCTGCAGTTATTAATTGATAACTACATGACAAGCAATCTTGTTCTCAACTATGTATGCACCAAATGCCAACAGTCTTCACGCATTTTGAATAAAAAAGAGATTATAGTACATCCTGAAGTACTGGTCATCATGCTAAAAAGGTAATTTGCTATAAGAAATAGATTCATTGACATTGGTAACCCTAATATAACAATAGTAGTGAAGAAGCTTTCATCTCTTTATGTTTTTTTGCACGAATTATTAAACTAATACAACAGACTTTATCAAAGCCCAATAGTATGTAATGAATACGAAAGTTTTCAAATTAAAATAATTCACATTATCGCTATATGAGAAAATAGAAATATACTTCAAATATCTCCCGTATATATTCACACATTAATATTTGTTTCCAATACATTCAAAACTCCTCCTTCGATATATTTCTTTACTGAAACTTTTTCCTACTTCTACCACACTTAGATTGATTGTGTAATGTTTGTGGGATGATGGAAATAACGTAGAATCCACCTACCAAACAATGACATACACTGGTTACATTCGTATTACAGATACGAACGACACCTTGACTTCCTTGACACATACATACGAGACTTACTCACATCCCATACTGAGTGTGCCCTTCCTCCTGGCTTTGGTCATGTGCCGCGCATATATCCAGACCTATTGGCGGCCGGACCTATATCCGGCGTGTTACGAGGGTGAACATTTGTAGTTTCCCTGACCTCATCGCTAATTATTCTAAAAAACTTTCCAAACCTATTATTGGTTATATTTGACATATCTGTAAGACTATTATCTTCAACACTGTGTGTCTCCCCAGTGCTAACTTGGTCTATTTTTGGAATATCTGTAACATTGTTCTCTACTCCATCCTTACCGAATTTGATTTGTATGTCTTTTCCATAATTGTCTCGTTGAAAGCTTACATAAGTAAATCATTGTTTCTATCTTCTTTTCGATTACCCCCTTAGCCCATTTGTTCTCAGACTTTATCCTGTAATCCGTAACCCATACTTCCTCTCCCTCTTCGAAAGATTTCAGCTTCTTCCTCTAGGGAATGTGTTTTTCCTGCATTCTATTGATAACATTTGTCTCTAGCTTGTTGATTTTTTTTACACGCTTTATATTAGCTTCACCTGTATGTATGTATGTTTGTTTGTTACTCTCAAGCAGGGGATCTGTATTTGACAGAATTATCGACATTATTGCTTGATCTATTTACGGGCAGATGACGCTGTACGCAACCTCCTTGATATATCGACATTATTGCTTGATCTATTCGCGGGCAGATGGCGCTGTACGTAACCTCCTTGATATAATTCAAACTCACTTTACATGTATTTCTTCATTTGAAAAAAGTATTTTTTTTTATTAACACGCACGCCTGCTGCCTTATTTGTAACGTTCCTTTGCGCGCCTGCTGCCTTGGGCTTGGTAGCTGATTTTCATGCTCCAGAATTGGAAAATATCAATGGTCATTTTTCTAAACAATATACGGCTGATTGATCCCAAAGTTTATATAAAATAAATATAGTTTGAAAAGACAAAAAACACGCTTTTATAAAAAGCGTGTTTGTTAGTTTTTTAAATTATATTTATTTGTAAAATGTTCAACCTCGTTTTGACTGGGCGTCCGAACATCAGTTGTGTACGTGATGTTCCTGTTCAACAGTGCTCTGTATTGCTGTAGTTTATTAGAAAAGGAGAGGCAAGTATATGTAGATGTACTCCTTTGTTTGACGGATCTGCTAACACTGTTAAATTTATTTTTGAATGTATGGACCATGTTTTCAGCGGCTTCGTTACTTGCCGGGTTGTATGGTATATGCTGAATTCCATTCCTTTGAAAAAATATTTCCATCTTTTTTAATACAAACGATAGACCATTATCATGTCGGTCACTACAGTGTCTGGTAGACCAAATTTAGCAAATATCTTTCTCAATTTCATCTCCGTGTTCCTAGTTGTGATAGTCCTCATCTAGAATACTTCTGGCCACTAGCAAGCAGAAAGTTCCTTTACTGAATGGGACATAAAAAAATCCAGATGGATTCGCTCCCATGGCTTTTCTGCCAAGGGCCATGGTTGTACCACTTCCTTCGGTGGATTCCCCTTATTTTCCTGGCAAGGGTTACATGTTCTCACATGCTTCTCCACCTCCTGATCCAAACCGGGCCACCACATATACCATCTTTTCCAACCTTTTGTTTTCACTATGCCTAAATGGCTAGTGTGCAGCTCCTCTAGCATATGTTTTCTTAGGATTTTCGAAATTACTATCCTATGTCCCTATAAAAATACATCCCTGTTCCACCATCAGTTCATTTCTTCTTCTATGATAATGTTTCAAAAATTCGGGCAACTTCTGCGGCCAACTCTCTTCTATGAACTTCTTCACCATCCTAAGTTCTTCATCTGTGCTTGTTACCTGGCGTACTCTCTCGTTATCCACTGGTCATTCCTTTGTCGATGCTACAAGTATCTATTAGTATTGTGTTCTCCTATGTTCACCTGCAAAATAATTCGTGAAAGACAATCTGGCATACAATTTTCTTAACCCTTTACGTATTCGATCTTATAATCGAATGATGCTATGAATACTGCCCATCTCTGCAAACAATCTCGATTCCCCTCCGGAATGGCTTTATTTTCTTCAAATAAACTCACACAAGGCTTGTGAACTGTCTTGATAATGACTCAATTTCCCCTTAGGTACTGTTCGAACTTCTTCAGTCCAAATACAATTGCCAACGCCTCCTTATCTATCGTTACATACTTTTTTCAGCTGGCATCAACGTACGGAATACGCACCCTATTGGCTTTTCCTTGCCATTCTCTTTATGAAACAATACACTTGAAATCCTTTCCGATGATGCTTCACTTGCCAACAATATTTCCTTACTAGGGTCAAAATGACTGAGCTTCATGACTTTTGCCATCAGTTTTTTCGTTAAGTTGAAGGATTTTTCTGTTTTTTCATTTCCCCCAAATAATTAACTTATCCTGTGAAACTTTTCACTTGGCTTACGGTCCTTGGTCTGAGTGCATTTAACACTGCTTCTACTTCATCAGAAGTTTTTCGTAGACCCTAACTATCGATAATATAGTCCAAGTATCCCATTTCTTTCTTGAAAAAATTACATTTATCTTTGTTCAACGTCAATCATCTGTCTTTCATACCTTCCAATATCATTTCTAGGTTTCCGATATGTTCCTCTGTTCTCCCCGTAACAGCAACATCGTCCATTTATATCATGACATCTTTCAATCCTTGGAAGACTTGCTCTAGGCTGCGTTGCAATATTGCACTAGCCGGTGCTACTACAAATGGAAAACGTTTCATACGGTACAAACCCTTTTGAGTATTCAATGTTTCTTGAGATTTTTCATCCAACATGAATTGCAAATATGTACTGTTCAAATCCAACTTGGTGAAAATCTTACTCCGTTCAATTTTGCAAATATTTCTTCAATTCGAGGCAGTGGATACCTCACGTTTTCTAAATATTTATTCAACGTTGTTCTATAATCTTCACAAATGCGGATGGTATGATCGGTCTTCAATAGCGGTACCACTGGCGTTCTCCAATTTTAAGCTTCTACGGGTTTGATGATATCCTGCTTAATCATCATCTCCAACTGTTCCTCGTCTTATAAGCGAACGAAACTGGTCTTGCCTTACAGAAGATTGGTTTAGTTCCTCCTTCAACCTGAAATGTCACCTGTAAAGGTTTATATTTTCCAAAGGTTCATGATAGTAGTTAGAAACACGACACCAACATTTTTTTCTTATTCTGGCGTCTGTCACGGTCAGCGACGATGTATGTCCACCATCTTTCTTTCTGTCTCCGTTCTCCATTGACCTGCGCCGACGACGTCTTCCCTCTCAGCCAATGTCGTGCCTTCACTGGCACGGCAGTGAACGGCAAATGAACTTGTCCCTGAGTGCAAAATCCAACGAATCCGTGAATTTGTAGTTGAGTGCCAGCGCCCTTATCCGTGGAAATTTGGAAATCTAGTTGAATCAATTTTGATAAAATTGTGTGCCATATCGTATTTGATAGATATTTGAAGTCATCCATAAAGGACTGCGAAAGGCAAAACAGAAAAGGTATTGACATACCTTATACGATTAATGGTTCTTTACAAACACGACCCAACGATTTTTTTAAATCTTTAAAAAAGAATGTTTCAAAGAAGCCTTGATTAAATTTTTAGCCTATCACTGGGAAGATGACACGTTCACTTCCATATTGAAAAATAAAAGAATTTTTATTACGGTTGTAGAAAAATGTTTTTCATATAGTTGTGTTGAAAACAGAGTTATAAAAAAAAAGGAAGATCTAGCATGTGAACACGAGGAAGCTGACACAAGGATAATATATCATGTTAGGAAAGTCCAGGACCGTTCGAACATTTTAATTAGAGCATCTGTTAATGATGTTTTGATAATTTCATTAGGTAATATTCACAAATTTAATTCTCCTACTTATGAAATTACTTCAAAATTAAATTTTGATTGTCTACATTATTGCTACACTAATTTTGCAGTGGGGTCCCGTATTATAAGTATAATAAACGTCTTCATATATTATATATCAATTATCAGTGCTCCCTATTATGAAACGTTCGAAACGTTAAAACAAAATAACGCTGGCCGCTGCTGTTCGTCAATTGTGACGTGCTCCACTCGACCTGCCCTCGCGGATGTTCTAGACGTGGCGAGAATAATGCTACCAGCTTCGATGGAATTCTTGCGAATTTTCAACCGCCTTCGATTGTCTAATATAAACGCGACCCACTCGCCTATCGAGATAGTCAAGTGAAATCAAGTTTTGCTGATAATAAGGTATGAGGCGAGAGACATTTAAATAATAGTTGAAGTTTTAGTTAAAATGTTTAATTGTATCAGAAGTGAAATGAAGTGTGGTTTTATTGTGTACAGTGTAGTAAATTATTGTCAAACCCACGGGGAAAATGTACCATTTGGTATCAGAAGTGGTATAATTGACTGAAAATTTTGTACACGTTAGTCAATTATCGTCAAACCCACTAAGATAAAAGTTCCATTTGGTATCAGAAGTGGAATAATTGACTGGAAATTTTGTGTTTTATGGTGAAAACAAGAAATATCGAT